GGCCTTCAGGGGCCCCCTGGGGGCCCCCTGAAGGCCGAGGAAGCGGGGGGCCCCCAAGGGTGCAGGGGGACCCCTGCAGTGCAGATGGGGCCCCCTGGTGGCCTTGGTTTTTTGGCCTGCGCTCGGGTCTAGGCTTTAGGGTTTAGGGTTTAGGGTTTAGGGCCTAGGGTTTGGGGGACTGGGACGCCAAACCCTGCACCCTAGACCCTCCATCCTAAACCCTAAACCCTCGAGCGTAAACACTGCTGGCGAACGACAAAGACCCAGGAGTTTGTGTCATTTAAGTTTTGTTATACACGCCGGGGATAGATAAAACCCTAAACCCTCGGAACTTAAGCCCTAAACCCTCAGTACTAAAACCCCAAACCCTTAAGACAGCAAACCCCAGTCCTACTGCTCTACGCCGGCTACAGGTCACCTGCACGTCCCTAAACCCTAAACCCTAAACTCTAGGTCCTAAATCTCGGGTTACGAGAAGTAAAACCCTCTTTGGAGTTTCTTAAAAAGAAAAACTTGAAAAAAACGTTCAGATATAGGAATTGGCGACTGGGCCACAGGGTTTAGGGTTTACGGTTTAGGGTCGCGGCCGTTGAGCGACACACCCTGAACGCTAACCCTAAACCCTAGTCCCCAAACCCCTAACCCTAAACCACAAACCCTTCTTTCCACTTTATCGCTTTAATGTTTTGGTTTTATGGCGACAAAAAGAGCTGAAAAGCCCCAAACACAGACCCTAAACCCTAAACCCTAAACCCTAAATCCTGGACCCGGGTGTCTCGGGCTAGCCCGAACGGCTCGAGGCCCCAACGACTGAGCATGCCTGCTCTTCAGAGAAAACCCTAAACCCTCATTCCAAAACCCTAAATCATAAACACTAAGTGGCAAACCCTAAGCCCTAAACCCTGAAACGAAAACCCTAGGGTGTGACTGTTCTCGCCGCCGTGATCTGGCGGTGTCCCGTCGAAGCGCTCTGAGCAGGTGACCCAAACCCTAAACCCTAAACCCTAAACCCTAAACCCTCAACCCCAAACTGTAAACCCTAGATTTACAGCCTCTTTGTGGAGGCTGCAGCTGACCTGTGTCGTTTGCTGCTGCTGCTTTTCACCATTGCCACGGAGGTCCGTGAGCCACAACCCTAAACCCTAAACCCTAGGCCCTAATCTCTAAACCCTAAACCCTAAACACCAGATCTTGGCTCTTTTTTCTTTACTCTCGTGGCTCGTGAGCTTCTGTGTGTCTCTTAGGGAGTCATATTCTGCCCTGTGCAGCAGCAGCAGCAGCGCGAGCAGCAGCAGCAACAGCAGCAGCAACAGCAGCAGCAGCAGCAGCAGCATCAGCAGCAACAGTGGGAGCTCCCCCTGCAGTAAACGGAAAGGCAGCAACAGCCAGAGAAGCAACAGCGGGGGCAGGAGGGCCTCCGAGGCCCCTAAACCCTAAACCCTAGCCTCTAAACCCTAAACCCTAAACCCTAGCAATGGCTAGCCGAGTCTTTCTGCGGGAGACACGGCCCCGAAGCCCAGCCCGACACTCCCCAGATGAATTTCCAGGTAAACCCTAAACCCTAAACCCTAAACCCTAAACCCTTAACCGCACAGCCTCAGCCCTAAACCCTAACCCCGGAGCCATAAGCCCTGCTCTAGTTCCCTTCCCTGGTACTGGTAGAAAACACCTCCAGCCAAAGGTCTAGGGTTTAGGGTTTAGGGTTTAGGGTTTAGGGTTTGCGATGCCACAGGCGAACGAAGACGGACAGAGGCGCAGGGAGGGTTTCCTTCGCTCGCCCCTCCGCTGCTGCGGCGCAGCGGCACCAGATGGGACCCAGAAAGCAACAGCAGCAGCAGCAGCAGCAGCAGCAGCCGCAGCAGCAGCAGCCATGAGAGCAGCGACAGCAGTGACAGCAGCGACAGCAGAAGTCGCAGCAACAGCAGCAGCAGCACGAAACGCAGCAGCAGGGGTTCTCACACTTCCTGGAGCCGCCATTTAAGGTATACGAGCAGCAGCAGCAGCAGCAACAGCAGCAACAGCAGCAGCAGCTACGGGCCGCCACTGCAGCTTTACCAGAGGCAGAACCAGGAGCAGCAGCAGCAGCAGCAGCAACAAAGGCAAATGGAGAGAGGCAGATCTTCTCAGGCTGCTTCCGATCTTCCTTCTTTTCCCCGGTTTCGTAGCCACTGTGCAGCAGCAAAAACAGCAGCAGCAGCAGCAGCAGCAGCAAGTGCTGCTGCTGCTGCTGCCTCTGAGGCAGAAGCTGCCCGGTCCCTTGCAAAACAAATCGAGTTAGTTACAAGAGGAAGAAGCAGAAAGGTCACTTTTGCCAAGAATATTGCAACAGCAGCAGAAACAACACCAGCAGCAGCAGCAGCAGCAAGAGCCGCAGCAGCAGCAGCAGCTGCTGCTGCTGCTGCGCGCTCGCCTGTTCGCAGTGCTGCAGGAGCACTG